AAAGAGTCCATATTGTGAAATGTCGTGTTATGCTTGGCATGAAAACCAGAGCATCCTTGGACAAGATTTACAATTACAACCTGCTTTGTTATGATGGTACAAGAGGAGTCAATGGTGTTTCATTAAACTAACAGGACTGACTTGAGACCTTTTTTCTGGGACTTATTGCTTTTCTTTTTTTACTTTCTGGATGTTGTTTCTACTTCGATGTTTTTAGTCTTTTGTTATGGTCTTAGCATTTTATTAGCTTTTCTAGTAATGATCTTTCCTAAAAATGTTCATTCTTTGGAAGAAAAGCAATTGACCTTCTCTGAGAGAAATGGGGAAAGCTGTTTTTTGCCCAGGTATATGTATCTCTGTACAAGCATACGTTGAAGGGGTATCGTTTTGTACCAGTCTTCCTCCTCCCTGGTGGTGCAAGGAGTGAAGACAGTGGGTTATGAGGAGTACAAGGATGCTCTGCTCTGTTCCATGGCGTTAATGGGTTTGTGTGTGAGCTGGAAACGTAATTGTCCCAACAGAGGCTTTCCCAGTTGGCATCTTCCTGTTCCTCTCCCCTTCCTCACCCTCATGTCTCCAAACAAGGCAGCAGGAAACCCACTTGTGGGAGAAACACACAGGTAGGAGTTTGTCCTCACGCCCCTGATGTGCTGAAATCTTGATTCAAAGCTTGGCAAAATCCCAGTATCTCTTCCTGCTGGCACTTCTAATCTCATCTTCATAAAACAGAAAAATCACGCTGACAACATTTCAACCCCTTTATTTTCCGAAAGCAATTATTTTTGCTTTTTGCTAGTTTCCACCGTGTCAAGCTACCATTCTGTATTTTTTTAATTAGTGTACCTCTCACAGGAGTGAAGCTGACAGAAAGAGAGACTTGCACAGAAGAGCGAACGAAACAGTCTTTCCACCACTTGGCACAGAGGGAACTAGCAAAAAAAAAAAGTTAAATATTTGGCTTTTTTTGGTCTGTACGTCGCTTATGGCTGTGACAGGTATTCTAGTGCATTGGTTTTGTATTTCCCCATCTGTCTGAGGTGGTCTTTAGCTGAGGGAAAGGGGGTGCATGTATGTTTGTATATTTATGTGTTTATATATGCATATATGTACACATACATATACATACCTCTGTGTGTATGTCTGTCTTTCTTTCCTGAACTGGGGGCCCCAGAAGTGGACACAGTACATATACTATACACAGTATATACAGTATGTATATATAAACACAGAGGTGTGTATATATATATATATATTTGCATGTGTTTGTTTATAGGCGTGAGGGTGTGTATGTAGGGGATTCAGTTTAGGTTGTGTTAAACCCAGTTTACCATTATAGCAGGAGATGCTGTTATACCCATCTGTCTCAGCTTTAGGAACTGAACTGACTTAAAGATGAGAGCCAGTGGACGTATACAGCTCATCCATAGTGACTAGTTACAATTCTGGCTATTGAACTGCTGTTGACTGATGGCATATTGAAAGTCATTGCCGTTGTTCAGTCTGTAATTTATTTGTTAATGATATACATTGTTTCACTGTGAAAAGGAATCAATAATGAATGCTTTATGCTTTAACAATATAAAGACGTGGGGTTGCTTTGTTTAGAAAAATGTCCCATTCTACTGTCTTTCTCCAACAGTGATCCATATGGTGGGTTACTAAAAAGGAAAACAACTGTAAGTGAAAAAATATTAAGACATAATATTTTTATGTCTGTAAGACTACAGACATAAGTCTTCACTTCTGTTTTCCTGCCAAGATAGCCTTTGTCATCTGGTCTGTGAAAAGAGTATGAAAGATTAGTCACTTAGAAAGTGTTGTTTTTGTCATTAGCTTTTATTTTCTCTAAGGCAACCTTTTTTTTTTTTTCTTTTATACATGGTTGTATATATATGGTTGACCTCCCATATTTTTATGAATTTCAATTAATATTTTAGGATTCCTATCTCCTATGTATTGTCTTGGTGAAATACGTTACCTGAATTTTTTTAGTATATACAGTTAGAGTAAATTATGGATTTGTAAATAATCTTATATTTCATTAGTGTTATTTCTGTCCTCTTCACTACCCAACCTGAAATGCTGCTCCTTTTTTGACCTGTAATATCTTTTGTCCTCAAGCTGCTCACCCAGAAATTTCTGAAACCTTCAAATTTTTCTAAACATGACTAAGCTGAAAACATTTTATTAATCTATCTCACTAGTAAATATATTAAACACAAGATCTGCCAGGATCACATTTTTAATCTTTTGAAGTATTAAAATTTTATTAAAAATTTCTATTCTTTGTCATCTCACTCTTTAGTCTTTATCTAGAATGTAAATCACCTGTGTTATTTCATTTTTTTCATAAAAGGAGTAGGTGCTTTATCAATAGATTTTTTTTTTATCAATGCTACCCTGATTATTCCTGTAACTTAATATTAATCCAACTTTTATTAGCTATTATGTATAGTGGGAAAAATTTGAAAAGGAGTCCGCACCATCAATCACTGCAATTGCACCATCTCAGAGGCTTACTTTAGTAGCTTAAACATGACTAAAACCCCCCTGAAGTACTATAAAATCCTTGGCAGTACCAGAAGCTTTCAGGAGGGAGGCAGCCATCTCCTCTCCAAGTAGTTTTCTTAATAACATGTTTCATTTTCATATTCACACCTGCTCATAGATCAACTTTGTTACGGGCAAGAGACTGTCAGAATTTCTCAAGTGCAAAAACTTAATTAATATCTTCCCCCCCAATCTCTTGCTTTTTAATTAACTCCAATCTAATGTCATTTCTACTGAAAGGGTATCTATAAAATTTCTTGATATTTACTTTGCATGTTAGGGTGTTTATTTTCAGTGTTCTCTGCTGCGTGAGGTAATTTTTATAGTGTCGCGATTTAAGCTGCTATAGGATGAACTCAGATTTACTTTCCATTTTCTTAAGAAAGTCTGTCTAAAAAAATGCCTCAAAACATACCATTTAGAGACTTTTTTTCTCTTTTCATTCATGATTCCTTTGCTCTCCTAGGTACAAATATCTTATTGTATCCTAGACCAATGTTATCAACCATAATATACATAAAAAAAAAACCCCACAAAAAAAAGACCAGAAACGCCAGCAAACCTTGTAGCAGATATTATTGGGAGTTTCTTGTTGAAGGCACGTTTGCATTCATATTCCTATGAGCAAAGCTCATGTCCATACACTAATGATTTTTTTACCTTTTTTTCATTAATACGTTGGATTATGTCTGATGTGTAAAAAATATTCTATCCAGGCTTGACTTAGCTTCAGAAATCTTCAAGGGCTTATGCTAAACAGGAAACATTTCAGAGGAAGAGTTATGTTAACATTTAAAATAAACAAAATTACTGTTATGTTGGAAAGAGTCTTGATGACTTAGAACTTAAAAAAAACCCCTCATTTATTTTCACTCCATTTAAATGTATCCATTGTAATAGCAAAACAAGTAGAATGTTATGTTGGAAAGAGTCTTGATGACTTAGAACTTAAAAAAACCCAACTCATTTATTCTCACTCCATTTAAATTCATCCGTTTCAATAGCAAAACAAGGAGAGAAATTCCAGTGTGAACGTATTTTGAAGTAATGACCAAAGATTATCAATATTTTACTGTATTTCACATTTTAATTTCTTCACCTACGGCATCATTAATCCCACTCCTGAAGGGACTTTATTTTAATTATAGCAGAAATTTCAGTGCTGGGTAAATCTCTACCTAAGACTTGCAACACAAGATCTCTGGTTCAAAAATCTACTGTGTAATTAATTTTATTTATGCTGTTCAACTCTGTTTTCCCTCATATTAAAAAACATATTGGCAAAGAAAATTACATTATTGCTGGAATAAAATGACAGCGATGAATCTAACCAGCTTTTACATACCTTGAGAGTCATCTGAATTCCCCATTCAGGTAATTATTATACGTATCCCCACTCAGGGATTATTTTATGTAAGAGATCTAGCAGTTTAGACAAGGGAATAGTAATAGAGAAGTCCTAACTGTAATGCTAGTTTTCATCTGTTTGTTACTATTTCCTCACCCAAACCAGACAATTATAATTACTTATCTGTTCCAAGGGACCGCTGTAGGAATAAACTTCACTATTTGTGATGAGAAAAAAAATGCTAAGTAAGTGTTAAGTTGTTATATTTTCAGCCACATTAGACTGTTACAGGGGTGATGGGAGTATGGCATTCACTTAGCTGTGATAACTTTGTTTTCCTCCATTACATCAACTAGGCTAAAAAAAACACTGTAATTTTTTTTTTTAGGAAAAACATGAATATTTTAGGAAAATATTTGACGGAGTAGTTATCTCTGACGTTTGTATTTACAGGTTGGCAAGACATGTTTGGGGAATCGCAATAATTCAACATCTCGTTTGAAGACAGCAGAAACAGAGACAAACTTTCAGGTACTCTGTTTCTGAGGAATTCTCGGGTTTTTATTAAAAGGTCTTGTAAAGCATGCAGTTACTTGAAGTGTATTTACGCATTCTACGCTAATGCTTTTGAAACAGAACTGCTTACTCAGTTCAGACTGACTATACTTGATCGCAGTTCATCTGGTCAAAATGGCTTCTGGTTGGTAACAATTTGCAAAGCTATTTAATACTTGAAGAGCTGGACTATCCTAGTGGTCAAATGACTTACTTTGATACTGTGATGTCCATAGCACTGGGAATAGGAGAAGGGAGAGATTTCTAAAATAGTTATATATCTGCAATTACGTGAAGCTGTATTCAGCCATGTTACCAATGGAAAAGTCTTAAGCAAGTTGCACACCTGAGCTCTTAATTTGGTAGACCAAGAGAAAAAGATAAAAATCACCATGATTATAAAGCAGCATGAGACTTGTATGGTTTTGCACTGTCAAAGATTGTTGAATATGCTTCCTTTATTAGAGATCAGAATCCTTTTCTAGATGCAGTTCATGAATATCATATTCTGTTATAGTAGTTTAAGACTGGTACATCAGTTTAACAGAAATACAGCTCTGCATGCGCTATTGCCATGAATTTTTAACATACTTTTTTATTTGCTTATGTATGTGCATATCGTGTATGCGATGCTTACACTGATGCTATTTTCCCCTTCAACAGAAGTTGCACAGCCCTCCGTGGACTAAACCCGAAGACAAAAAATCACCTGAAAGAAATGAGAAAAAAATTGAAGAGTCTGTTAGTACAAAAGAAAAAAAACTCTAAGCGCTACTAATCTACATTAAAAATGCCCATCACTTACTTCCATCTTCATGTTCTTTTTAGTCCAGAGGCATGAAATGTACCAGGTTTCTAAAGCATGCATTTTTCACTATTTCATGAATGTTTGTAAATTAGTCTAGCATAGACCAATTAGTACCTTTCAGCAATAATCCAAAATGGATGTTTGAAGAAATGCTTTGTAATACAGTCTGGTTTTCGAACTCTTGTTCCACCTGATCAGTAACTGCATACTATAAATCAGTTTCTTTGTAAACAACAGCTATTCTCAAGTATTTTCTCAGTCTGTTCTATTTCATGTATCTTTATGGCAGACTAGGTTTTAAATCAAGTTAAGAATTAAGGGGCAGTTAACGTGGGGGAAAAAAAATATCTGTGTAAACATAGTTGAAGTACAGTACAACTCATAAAAGCAACTGTAAAAATGGAACAGTAGGGGTCCATTACTTTTCAGTAATACCATTTCAAATCTGCTTACTTAATAAAAAAGTGTTTGGTTGGTTGGTTTTTTTTTTTCTAACTGCTATCACATCTAGTCCATTTTTGAGCACTGAAGCATTGACAGAAATGCAGAATTAAAGGGATGGAGATAGAGAGAATCATGGCTTTTAGGATTCAAGTTCTGCAGGCAGAACTGAGTTAAAATTTTATAGGTTGGGTACAAGTCATGGGAAGTCAGTTCCATCCCTTATGTTTGTGCTGATCTCAACAGGATAAAAACACTTTAAATGCTAAACCCCCACGTTGTCCACTGCAGGTGGCCCTTGGTCACTACAGCTGAGAGGAGCATTTTGGTTGGGGTAAGCTTTGTGATTCGTAGGGTTCTTCCAGTTTCTCATGGGTCACATACTCTATGACAAGAAAGCAGAAAGGAGGGGAGGATAAGGAAGAGAGTGCTTTTCCTTTTTTGTGTATATGTCATTATTGGTCTAATTTAGGAATTCATATGCCTCATCTTGTTGAGAAGCAGATCTTTCAAGTGCCTTAGAAACAGTTAATTGCCTGATGCAACGCTTTCATGCTTTCCTCTTGCCTGAAGTGTTTTAAGTAGTTGTAACTTGTAAACTCCCACGTTCCTCTTACTACACACAGCAGTACATTACAATGTTTACTAGATTGAAAGCAGTTTACTTTTATTAGTTTGCTCTTCCTTGCTTTCGAATCAGTTGAAAAAGCAAATAGACAAATCTTTTATTTTGTTTAGTGGTGCTCTTTGGTTCAGTTTTATCTTTTAAGATTTTACCAATCCTTCAACAGTCTCTTCCAATAGCTGTCTGTTCCTTGCTGGTGTGAATATATTTCACCCTGACGTCTTGGATGTGCTCTTCTACTCAAAGGTAGATATTGCAGAATGGTAGGTTTCTCTGCCTGGAGAAATTACAATAATTTTAAAAAGAAAAGAAACTCATGAGCTGACCAAATGATGACAAAGTACTGCTCAACAAAGTCTCACTATTATCAACAAAAAGATTATCCATGTTAAGTGTCAAAGGAAGTAAAATGCTGGCCACAAAAATAACCAGAAAAGAGATGTGGCTTTTCACATCTGCTCGTAAAATCAATCGTCATCAAATAGTAACTGTCATATACAATATGAATTTGTTTCAGGCAAATGTGGGCCACATAGCAGACAATTCCTTTATTTCAGTTATAGCCACAGCAAACCTGGCTGAAGACAGTCTGCTGTATTTCAGAATTTTCAGTGAGCAAGAGACTTGTGAACCTGTCATATCTACAGCTGGCACTAATTTCTACTTATGTCAAAACCAACATTTGTTTGCATATGACACACCTTAACTGAAATATCTGAGGTACGGGCTGAAAAGGTCACTGAAACTGTATCAGTCATCTGTCTAGAAAGGACATGGATCTTCACATCCATGTCCCAGCGGAATGAGGTAAGCTGTCCTACCTGGCATTTGTTTCACCTTTCTAAAGAATCCAGCAATGCTGACAGCATATCTACTATTGATATAAATGCTTATTACTGCTGTGTCAAGGGATGGCTTGGGGTTGGTGTTCACAACATGAAAAAAGCGTACCTTATAAGTCAGCTATAATCTAGCTTGCTTTTTTTTTTTCTTTAACATACATGAAACCAGTGAATGGTTGAGCAGCCCTCTGCTTTCCGGGAATGTGCATCATTTCATTGTTATTTCACCACCAGATAATTAATGTAATAGATCTATTTACCATCAGAAAATCACCACAAAATATTGGGGTGGGTGGGATGTTGTGAGGTTATTTTTCTTTGTTTTGTTTCCAAAAGGTTTATTGTTGGAAGCTTTCCTCTAGCTATCTGGTCATGATCTGGGGTATGTTTGCATGCATGTATGCTTTCACTTTTGTATGTCCCTTTTCCTAGGTGACAGTGAAGATCAGAAGAGACAGAACTGAATAAAGCCATGTTGGTGGGGAGAATTAATCTGCTTGCTTTGATTAAAGCTGTAGAAATCAATTATGTATGGTCTGAGGATTGCTTGACTATCTTCAGATGGGACATTGATTGCCACTCATTTTCAGTATGATTAACAGTTTCACTTCTTGAAGATGATGACTGGGGGAATCCCTGCTTATCTTCATACCTACTATTTTTAGAATAATCCACATAATGATACAGAATTAAGAAAAATAATGATGGATAAATTAATCTTTTATCTGTGTATGGTGTCGGTATGTCTGATGTATTTTGTAGGTATGGCTTAACAAATATTGCTACGCTGAAGGTTCTAGTCTTGTATCGAGAGGATGGTACACATCTAAAGTGAAATCTATCCTTCATGGTTGTATCTCAGAGAACTACAGTTCAAAAACATATTAACATCTCTTCAGTTTGAGAGGAAACTTCTTTTCATTTATATGTGAAAAAAAAAATATTTAGGAGAGGACATTGGAATGTATAAGAATTTGTGTGGTAGAAGTCAAGGATTTTGAAAAGAAAGAAAAAAAAGTAGTTTCACATCTCGGTGCTGGAATGAACCTAAACAGACTGTACTATTTCCTCTCATTTGTAGTTTGTCAGTATTATAAAGAACATAGTCATAAAGGAGCTTCAGTTTATACAATTTAAGTCACAGTTGCACTTACTTGCTCTCTCTAGAATACTCTAAAACTCTTTTAATGTCAGGCTCAGAGAGACCAGTGTCACTGGGTCTGTTTCCCTGTGCAGACTCATCATACCACAGGGCAGCACATCTTAAGAAAACGTTTTGTAATTCCATGCAGTTGCCTGGCAACCAGGTCATGGACCGTATCCTTCTCTTTGCAAATAAGGATTACACATCAGGAGACAAAACACTTTTCTAGTAGATATTCCAAAGTTTCGCAGTTAAAAGCAATTTAATTTCCAGTTTAAGAGCAGGCCAAACATATTCTCTTTTGTAAGAGAATGAGATGGATTTTAGATTGTTTCAAACTTTAAACTTTCATTTCAATTTTCCATTTGCATAATAGACTTCTCTGAATTAACCTCTCTTTCTATCCATCTATATCTATGTGCATATGTATTTGTAAGCATACGTGCATATTTTATATATATGTCTGCATAAAAATTTACATGTAAATATACATATATGAGCGTGTATGTAAATTAAAAATTCTGGCATGAAATTTCATCCATGGTGAGATTTTACTCTGCATTATAAAATTTATAACTAAGAGGTGTTCACTTTACCAAAATGACCAAGATCAAGGCAATGCCTATTTACAAAATAGAGCACTAAATTCCTCTAATTTTCTTGTTGAAAAGCTATAAAAAATGTTTAAGCCTATTTGTGTTTAAAATGGGTCATTTTCTGCAGTAGCACATGGTAGATCATTTTGTTTGAGTTAATTTCATTAGATTTTGTTTCTATTTTAATCATCAGGATGCACAAAAATAAGTCTTGGTACTTCCCCGCTTAAGAATTAAGATAGTGAAATTGTTGACCTTTCATACTGATTTTCTATACATAGGGCATTTTTCATTCAGTTATACAATAACCCGTGAAGTTTGTAATTTTTTTTCAGGAATAATGGGCTATGAAAAGCCAAAATTACAATAGCAGTCCAGTTCAGATGCATATGTTACAAAGTGGTCAGAAGGACTGACTTTTCCATTTAAACAATTTCTTTCAATATGAACGGAGGATGCTCTCACTGAGTCTTAGAACATTAAACTTAAGATACATTGAGTTCTGTGTCTCTGCCTGACCTTGTGGCTTTGGAAAAGCTGTCTCACTCTCACTTCTGTAAGTACTTCAGTACAAATGATATAATGTGCTACTTTCTATAATGTGAATATATCAATATGGGATAAGATAGTTTACTTTTTTAAAGTCAGATCCTCAGATTAAAAAATGTTATAGAAGCATATGAAGTATTAACACATTTTCTCTGCTTGTTGAAAAAAAAATCAAATTTGATTTCTTAAAGGGAAGCTCCAGAAATGGGTGGATTTCTGGAAAAATCTCAAAACAGTTAATAATAGCTAGAAATACCTATTTTATTTGCCTGTCTTCCATTTTATATATTTTGAGCATTCTCTTTTATATCTATGTTGACAAGGGGTCTGTAAGGAAAATTCACATTTTGGTTCCACTTAAAAACTCAAAAGAAAACCATTTCATGATGAAAATAGATAGGAAAGTTGGCATTTGCAATCCTACTTGGTAGTTGCCATTTTATTTTACATTTAGTGTTTCTTTTTAAAGTTGACAAAGCAGTCAACTGCAGTTGGCACACTTCTGATTAAATATATATTAAAATGCACTGCTATGCAAGAATTGTTGATTTATTTAAAGGAATAATTAAAAAAAAACCAAAGAAACCTTAAATATTAGCCATACCCAGAGGCCACTAACTTGTTCTTCCAAGATATTTTTAATGGTGCTGTGAGTCAAGACTATACAAATGAATGATCTATAAAACACTAACTTGATTTTACTGTAATATTTTAACTTCATAATTTTTTGCCTTAATTCAAGTCATGAAACAACTCATGCCTA